ATTTTCATCTTTTCTGTATTCTTTCCCTTAAGTCGCCCTCGGTAATGCCAAAGCATCGGATCCATTATCGCTTCGAAGTTGCGACACTGAGTTTTTCAATCTTTAGAGGTCAGTATGATACATTTATTTGCATGCTGCCTATTTGGTGACTAATATGTTCGGGGCACAGATCGCATTCCTGGCACGCCTCGGGGTGGCCTTCTGCTTGATCCACGTCACCAGCTCGGAAACGGCCTGAAATTAGGGTGTATGCCGCCAATTAAGGTCTGCTTAATTCTATGAACAGCATGGTATATCATCCATTGTAAAACCCACCTCTTTAAGAGCCTTCTCGCAAATGTCCTTCAGGAAGCCTCGTCTGGGTGCACACTTCCTCGATTTTGGGCGACCAGGTAGGCCTCGATGTCGTTGCCGCCCTCTTTTTCGGCCTCCTAGATAATTTTTGGGGTAAATTCGGCTGGATTTACGCAAAAAAATAAGGATTTTTGACCAAAACTCATCGATTTTGTACCTTTTTGGATGGGTTTTGCACCTTAACTATGGAAAAATTTAACTAAAACGCGATTAAAATACTAAATATTACGTTACCAGAAATTTCTGGACTACAGCTGAAATCGTAAACAACTTGGAAAGCTTCGAATGGAAGAACCAACCTCAACCAACTCCCTCGCAAATTGCGCAGATGACCGCGAAGATCGCGTTGCGGCTGCACGGCCAGCGAAGCGGCGACCGCGATGAAGCCGAGGAGCAACAGGGCGGTTCTCATGCTGAATTATAGAGGTCGAAACCGGTTTAAAGTAAAAAAGATACTTGAGGAATTTTCTAATTTATTCTTATCAAATTGTGCTGCCTTTTATACATCCAAGAGTGGCTTAATCCTTTCCTTATCGCGCATGCCCACAGATCCGAACGTCTGCCCATTCGGATAAGGCGGCTTAACCGCCGGGACGTCAGGGATTCCGGCACGGGTTCAATTTTTTTCGGGTGGATCAGTTGAATTCCGGGCCCCGGTGTAGCAGGGTACGCTGTTGCAAATTTGAGTTGTGCCATTATCGCTTTTGGAAAACCGTTACTTTATAATGTTGTGTTATAAGTTAATCATAAACGTATAAGAAAATATTTTTCTCATGAGGTCTTTTTTCGTATCTTGTAAATCTATAAATTTGAAGTTAGTTTCTTTATATTTGTTTTTCGACGAAAGGTAAGGGGCCGAATTCGGAATTTTTATATGTTTTTTTTGGGGTTTAGGCAGTTTTTCCACATTAGATATATTTAACTTCTCGACCAAAAACCCACATTAAAGTACTTAAGATCAAGTTACCGAGGAAACTCCCAGCTTACGACCCTGAAATCTTTGGGCTACAAACTTTCTTGATCCGTATCGCCCATGTTTAGTAGAACATTTATCGGGCTCTCTGATTTGAGAAGGTAGTACATAAAAATAAGGGGGTTATTGAAAATTTGTAGACCCTAAGACACACTATTTTTGGACGCTCGGCACGCCAATCTCGGAGATGCTTGTCAAGATGCGTGACGAGGCGGGTCGAAACCCGAAATTTGTATTAGTAGGTCTTTAAGCCATACGAAAATGTATCCGATATTAGTTTAAAGGGTATATTGAAAGTTGAATGTTATAAAAAGTTTATTTCGCTATAGCTCTAAAGATCCGAAAGCACCTTTCCAACTTGAACCCAACTGGTTGAGGGCATCTGGTAAAGTATCGAGACGCAAGGAATGGTGAGCTGTGTGAAGCAAATTCCGATCGTCCTGACTTGCTGCCGAATGTAAGGTTGAAGGCTAGGTGATGTTCGTCTCGACTTGCTGCAAAAATTGGCGCATTTTGATCGGGTTTAATGCACATTTAACGCTGGGGATAAGCTGTATTTTTTCAGCAGGACCAAGTTATGCAAATTTCCCGATTTCGGCCTACCATTACGGTGCTCTTGCATGCCGCGCAAGCCATGGAACCGAAGACGTCGCCTAGCTGGATGGCGCTAACAGCGAATGCAGCCAGGAATACGAGCAATATCGCTTTTTGCATTCTAAATATGAAGCTTAAAAATACACAAATTAGAGCACTTAAAATGAATATGTTTCTCCTTAATCCAAAGTATGTAATGATAATTGTAACATTTGAAATATTTAAAAAGTAACGCTGAAAGTGATTTGGGCGTTCCAAGAACTGTCCTTTATAGAGCCCAATTTCTCAAAATCTATTATGTTCAGTGAATTGACTGATTCATAGCTCCAAAAACAGCGTGGGCGACAAGCAGCGCAATGGAAAACTGTTTTTATTTTCAATGAAGCGCGTGAATCATTTGGAATCATTTCTTTAAATGAGAATGACAAATCAGGAGAAACTGATCAAAACGAAAAATATTTTTTAGGGAATTATTAAATTGAATGCTTTTTGGCGTGCAGTTTCCGGTAAAATGATGTTAGCGCGCGGTTTAAAATCTTCCAGATACGGCGGGGATCGGTGCGGATTTTTTTCTGGTCCCTGTCTGCCATGCCTGCGCAATACTCCGACGTGTCGATGAAGCGCACTGAAATGTTGGAAAATTTTTAGCGGAGGACGGTACTAATAATTCCTTTGTGATCTGCTATGCTCACTTTCCACCGAGCCCAGCCAGTTCCTCTCTCTCTCTCTCTCTCTCTCTCTCTCTCTCTCTCTCTCTCTATCTCTCTCTCTCTCTCTCTCTCTCTATCTCTCTCCTGCTCTGTTTCTCTCTCTCTCGATTTCTGGCTCTGCGTAACCCTCACTGTCTTTCACGCTGTAGGTCACCCACTCTCGCAAATGCTCTCTGGAGTTTTCCGCAAATGCCCTCTCACGTTGCTGATTCGGGCGTTAAACATGTCAAGTGATATTTATTGCTCGTCGATTGTTTGAATCATAACATAATAATTACTCAGTTACTCAGTCTCGGAGCAAACTTTCGCAGCGCGGCAAAGTTCGGCAGCCGTATTCCACTGCCGGAGATGTGCGACAACGCCCTCCCCCGACTGAAAATGGGAGCATCCGCGAAAGAAAAAGAGACTTGAGCCCCAACCTCGTTAGCTTGAGCAGTACACTCTGCGTCACCCCCGCAGTCCTCTTCAGCCCGGGTCTTGATCGTATCCTTGAGGATGCGTCCCATTTGGAAGAAAGCGTTCTGTAGATGTTTTTGGGCGTGGAAAACTCTATTTTTACTTTATTGTTATATTATTAATTCGCCAAAATATCGAAAACTTCTAGAGAATGGAAACTGTAAAAGGCGTTGCTTACAAGGGTGGCTATCTTGCAATTGTAACAGCCCGCCACGTAGTGCTCCTGGGAGGCGGCCCCCTGCATGAGAGCGCACGCCATGAGACAGAGCAACATGGCTTTCACTAGCATCCTAAAAGGTTTCATTGGGCTTTAGAGTCGCAAAGCCAATGCGCAAAACAATTAAAAATAAAGTGAAAAAGCTAAAAAAACCTTTTTAAGAAAATTGTGCGTTCAGACTGCCCTGCTGATGGCTGACAACCACCCATTTTATACCGTCCTTTAAAATGGCCGTCTTTGCAATCGCGGGCTCAGAACCCGGAAAATGCATTGGCGAAAAAACCTGCAATTGAAAGGCATTAATTTTTCAAATACATGCTTGAATAATGCGTTCAATCATCGGTGGGACCAATGGCACTGGCAAATCGGGGGAAACTTGATTGAAAAGACTGCGGAGCAAAATATGTCTTGCGCTGCCCAAAAATATTTTTTTTGTGCTCTTGAAGAAAAAAGCGGGTGGATGCAGTGAGGTGCGGAATTCGGGGATCCATCCTACTATATATCAAAAAAATAGTGTTTGTGTGTGTGTCTGTGCCACTTTGCATGCCACTTCCGTCACCGTGTTCCAGTAGTATCTCAAGAAGGGAGGTACTTAGCGGTATGTTCGATACGTCATTAGGTGCGTAATGGTCAGGGGATGACTGCACACACATGATTCTCTTTGTTAGGAATCAATTAGCATGCGCCGGAAGTAGCGATCGCCTATATAACGGGAAAGAGGAAGCGCTTTTCATTTGTTGCTTATCAGAATCCAGGAAAATCACGCAAAGTGGCGAATATTCTAGGGTCAGACGGGGCCAGGGTTGAAAAGTCGCGAAGCGGCTTTTCAACCCTGGTTGCAATTGAAAAGAATTTGTCGGAGGAAAGGAACTATTGAATTGAATTGTTTTTGGTATGCAAATATCGGTAAGAGGCTTCCGGTAAATTCTTTTAGTTTATTTCAAACCAGCGCCCCAAAACCCGCTTCGCGGGCCTTGGACGCTGGAATGCGGCCTTTGCATGAAAAATGTGACTTCCCGATAGCTCGGGTCCTTCGGACCTCTACCCCCCACCGGCCACACACGCGAGTGCAACTGGCAAGAATGAGGAAATTTGTATTTTTCCGCATTATGCAAATTAGCCCTCAGGGACCCCCAAAAATGAATAAAACCGGCTTTAACTTTGTAAACTTGTATTTTATCGAAATTCTGACAACGCCATCGGAAACAGAAGGGTCGATTCCCCCGGGTGACGAAGAATTAGGGCATTTTATGCACGGGAAGGCCCTCAACTCGGGTCTCGAAAGTGACATCCACACACACACACACACACATACGCGCCAAAATTATATTTATTTCAAATCTTCCAGATACGGCGGGGTATCCGTGCAGATTTCTTTCTCCGTCATTTTTGCCATCCATTCGCAATACTCGGACGTGTCGATGAAGCGCACTGAAATTTCGAGACTATCTCCTCTCCCTTTCTCCTCTTCTTCTCCTCTTCTCTCTCTCTCTCTCTCTTTGCCTAAACTTACTCTGGCTGCCCTCCTCTTCATTATCACCCCGGCAATTGTCTGGGGCTTCGACGAGCATGCCAATTTGGATCCAGGACCACATCGGTTGAAGTGTATGGAAAACGGTAGGGGCGCCGATGTCGCTCTGAGTTTAAATAGAGAGAATGAGAGGGAGAGAGAGCGGGGGAGAGCGGGGGAGAGCGAGAGAGAGAGAGAGTGAGAGAGAGAGAGAGAGAGGGGAGAGAGAGAGAGAGAGAGAAAGAGGCGATGGCTTACACTGCAAACAGTATCCTCCTCCGGTGTTTCCATGCAGAACAATGTCTTCTCGTCGTCGTGCAAGCCATCGCAGTCGTCTCCAGCCAGCCGCTCGGCTGTGAATTTTTGAAGTTTCGCATGGGGTTTTGCTGAAATTTTTCACGCTTTGGATCTTTTAACAAGCAAAAAGCGGTGAAAAGGAAAGAACCGCTTACAAAATGCGCCATTAATGCGCCAGCCAAGGATGTCGAAGGCCGAGACGTGGAGTCCATTGAATACGTGTTTCTCCAGGGCTTCCGGGGTTGGCATCCAGACCGCGATTGGGGCGGTGCCGTTAGGGCCGAACGTTATCGAGCCGTTCAACTGGAAAGATCAGGTTTCGAATAAATTTTTGAGGAGCAAACTGCGAGAAGCGACACCGGTTTTACCGCTTCTAAGCGCAGCAACTTTACAAATTTGCATGTAAACGTACGTTTTTTGATGACCAAAATCACATCTAATTTTTTCCGATGTTTTTTTTTAGTTTTTCAACTTGAGATATCGTTAAATTTTATTAAAGAGGCTGCTAAAGCGCGTGTTGCGTTACGTGAACCGGGGAAAATACACACTCTTGCCTTCCGGATCCCTTTAAAACGTATACCTTGACAAGCGCCACGTCGCCATGCCAATACTCCCCCTTCTTGTCCAACTTGTAGTCTTCGGCGAGGATTACGTTTGCGATTTCCAGAGATTGCTGAAAAATCCGGAAATTATGGAAACTACAGACTAGGGATTTGCAAGCGAAATGCTGCGATTCTGGAGGTAACAAAAATGCCGAAAATCGGCGTGTCGAAATTCAGAATGTAACGAAATTAAAAATCTCGACAATTCAGAATACCGAAATTCATTAACTACGAAATCTGAATAAATCGGTTTTTGCGGTGTCGAAATTCCCTGGGCATCAACGAAAATGCCGACATTTCAATGCTTTGATGATCTGATACCGATCGATTATAATACCGAATACGGATCCGTTGACTCTCCTCTCTCCGGATGGATATTCACCGCGCCGACGAGGACTTGAAAATTGGTCCAGGGAATCCTAGGGGTTGTTTAAGCCTTAGATCGGAATTTATTACATTTTATAAGCAGTCGCCGACTCCTCGGCCTCCTCTGTGAAACAACCGGCCGACGTTAGGATCCATTCGGGATCCAGTATCGTTCCCGAGCATCGGAGAGGTCCGTTTTCGTCCCTTAAACGGAGACAATTAGAGAGAGAGAGAGAGAGAGAGAGAGGGAGAGAGAGAGAGAGAGAATGCGAGAGAGAGAGGGAGAGAGAGAGAGAGGAAAGAGAAAGAGAGAGAGAGACAGAGAGAGAGAGAGAAAGAGAGAGAGAGAGAGAGAGAGAGAGAGAGAGAGAGAGAGAGAGAGAGAGAGAGAGAGAAAGAAAGAGAGAGAGGGAAAGAGAGGGAGAGCGCGAAAGAGAAAGAAAGAGAGAGGGAGAAAGAGAAAGAGAGAAAGAGAGAGAGAGAGAGAGAGAGAGAGAGAGAGAGAGAGAGAGAGAGGGAATGAACATTTGCATAATACGAACTCGGTTGGAATCTCGACGATCGCGGCGATGTAGGGGTGCGCCTCGATCTCCACCGGCTTGGGGTCTGGCTAAAAAAGCGCACTCAGTAATTTTATTAATTTTTATAAATTTTGAAAATAATGCAAAATATTTTATTATAATATCAGGGTTATGTTAGTGGAAATACGCTAAAAGAATCAATCCAGGTTGACAAAGTTTAATTATCATCCACCTCGGCCTGTTGACTCAAAGCAACGGCTGCAATGAGATGAAGAAATCCGTATATAGCGCGGTAGACCATTTTTCTTCCCTTAAATCCGATACGCAAGGCGAAAAGCGTCAAGCTAGGCAAAAATTGTCGAATTTGGCGCACGTTAAAGCAATAAAAAAATAACATGCAAAGTTCCACGTCGGTTTTTGCCAAAAATAACTTTTTAATATCCACCTAGATGCCAATTGAAAATCGGCATCATTCCGCATTTATGAAACTCTATAGTTCTTTTTGGAAAAGCAATAAAAAGTGACGCCGAAGGGTACCGTACTAAATTTGGGTTACAGTAACTCGTCATTTCAAAAGCGCTTTGGATACGGTACTGTCTGATGAGCCCTGCAATAAGCGCAACTTTCTGGTATCATTAGCAAATTAATTCTTAAGTACAGTACGTTAATGACTGTCAATAGTTGATCGAAATTTATTTATCACATTTTCATTGCTTTTTATGTGTTTATAAGCACAGCTTAGCGCTCCGGCAAGCATTGGCCGGGGAGGTCTTCTCGGCCTTCCATGTGCTCAAATCGTGGAGAATCTAAAAACATTATTGTTGACCTTTTATGAGTAACTGCTATTGAACCCTGCTCAATGGTGGTACGTTACGCTACGTTACGCCAGGCTACGGACGGTACGATATGATCACAGGGTACGATAGGCTACGCTAGGATAATTTGCAACACCCTGTATCAGTCGAAGATAAGCTACCATGCGCTATGCTACACTAGGTTCATAGATCTGAGTAAATAGCCGTGTACGTTACGCTGCGGTAACAGCTTACTGAAGATTGTGCGACGTGGTGTGCCGGGCCGCGTTGTATGCTTTGCGGCGCTAGGTTACGTTCCGTTGGTTTGCGCCATGGAACGCTACGCAAAGCTACAAGGCGAAACATTACGCTACATTACGCTTCGCTACGTTACGCTATGCTGGACCATGTCACGCTACGCCAAGCTACAAGGCGACACGTTGCGCTACATTACGCTTCACTACGCTACGCAACGCAACGCTACCTCGCGCTACCCTATTTTATGCTACGTTGCACTACATTACCCCTCCAAGCGTCTTGATGCAGGACTGCTTCTCGATCTCGGTGAAGCTGCAGACACCCTCGAGGACGGTTGGAACCTGGTGGTGCTCGATCTCCGGAAGTGTCAGCGTCTGAAATTCAGGCTTCAAATCACTCGAATGCGCCACAGTACTTCTTCGTAGTAGGCAAAATCAGAAGTTACCGTAAGCAAGGTAAAAATCTGAGTACAATAGGATCACTCACGTACACTACAGCTTTACATTGAATGCAAAGTGCCGCCTGCTGTGCATACGGTACGCGATACGCATTGCATACGGTAGCCAGCAGGACAGTCAATGTCACCAGGAGAAGCCTCATCTAAAAATAGCTAAATGCGTACCGTATCCGCCTGCATTTTTCGAATTTTAAAGGCACGGCGACAGAAGAAATCTCGTTTCGACTAGAGCAAAATTCCGAATCAAAAACGAAGAAGATTTGATGTTAGTATTCCTATAAAACCAAAAACTGGAAGCCAAAAAACCCGTGTTGTACGATTGTAGAGTGAAGAAACCACCAGGTCCGGGGTGGTAATAAAAACCGCATCCTCGCCGTCCCTTGCATTATTCATGCCTAGATGGACGACTTTCTGTCTGTATTGAAACGTTATTACCAAGCAGTAGACAAATACGCTTACCGTATGCCAACCGCGACGCATGACGTGACGCGGCTTAAACGAGCGTTAAATTCGAAAATTTGAATGACTGGCCCTGGTATCGGATGGTACGAAATCGTACAAACACGCTTCGGCTCTATTACCTCAAAGCTCTCGCTTTCTCTCTCTCTCTCTATCTTACGCTCTATCTCACTCACTCATTCACTCACTCACTCACTCACTCATTCACGCACTCTCTCTCGCTCGCTCTCTCGCTCTCTTTCTCCCTCCCTCCCTCCCTCTCCCTCCCCTCCTCTCCCTCTCTCTCTCTCTCTCTCTCTCTCTCTCTCTCTCTCTCTCTCTTCGCTCTCTTTCTCTTTAGCTTACTCTCTGTGCGCCATCGCTCTCTCTCTACCTCTCTCTCTCGCTCTGGTTCTCCCTCTACCTCTCTGCCCCTCCCTCTCTCTCTCTCTCTCTCTCTCTCTCCACCTCTCTTGCTCTCTCCACCTCTCTATCCCTCTCTCTTGCCATGTTTCTGTCCATATCGCTACCATTGAGTTGATTTGTATTGGCTTTAAAATTTGGTTCACTGATTTATCATAATTTAATTGGGGAAACAGAACTGCCCTCCCTTGCAGAGACCGACGGCCTTGCACGCCGCCTTCGGCTCCTGATGGTCCTCGATGTGGATGGCGAGGTCGGCGCCAACCTTTTCAAAAAAAATCGTTCAATATTCACTTAGAGATATTCAACGGCTGGAATTTTCCTTCGAATTATCGGGGGGGGGGTACGTACTCTTAGTATGTTTTCCCACGCTCCATCAAATGGCGTTGCAAAAATCCCGACAAAATAAGCGAAAATACCGTAAACTTTGAGGCCCTTCGGCTGTGGGAGGGGGGAAGTAAGGTCTTACGAATTTTTATAAAGAAAATGTATAGATTGATCAAAATTGCATGGGGGAATTCCAGAACTAGCGTCTAAATTTTAAAACTCGAGCTTTTCACGTCCAAACGGGGGCAAAAGATCATGCGGCGCGGTCGAGTTGCGGTAGCATCCGGTGTCACGGTGCCACGTCAAGGAAAGGCAAAAAATGAAGGACAAAATTACCGCTGTGAGTCTATCCCGGCATTTGATCCGGAGGTCAAGGACAGGAGGCATGCCGCACAACCTGTCGATGCTCAGATAAACCTCTTGTGTCAGGTTCGGCTTGACCATCTCTTCAATTTCCTGCAAGACAGAAATTTCTTTCTACAATGTGGTTTTGGACGGATGAAAATCAGAATAAAAATTTTGGCTTTTTCTGCCCTAAAAAGCTTCATAACTTTTTCGATCTGATCGTTTCGAAGCTTTTGATAAGAAGTTCGGGCGAAAAAGCGCAAAATTCAGCATAAGGAACTTGGTGCCGTACAAAACCTAGATTGTCACTAAACAACGTCTCCCTGTTAGTCCCAACTGGAAACTCCGAAGTCACTAAATAATGGGTCCTGTTTGTAGCAATAACGATTACTCCATGGCCGTTAGGGATAAATCGACTCACCGCAACGACCTTCTCGCACACCATGCAATAAGTATAATCTCAATCGCTTTCTGGGTCTCTGGCGCTATGGGCAGGTTGAGCACATCAAATGGACTAAATTACCAAAGGATTGTACAGAATAATGATCCATTTCTCTCTCCCTCTCTCTCTCCTCTCTCTCTCTCTCTCTCTCTCTCTGTCACTCCCTCGCTCTCACTCTCGCTCTCACTCTCTCTCTCGCTCTCTCCATCTCTTTCCCCTCTGCTACCTAGCTTCTAGCCTCACTACTCACTCCTTAGTTCCCTCAACGTGACGAATTCCGACAATGCCTAGCGTCATCAGGAGGGGGAATACCAAGCCGTGCATCCTAAAGGGGTTGAGAAGTCGGATTCGGATCCTGCCCGGACACAAAAACTGAAAACTAGTTCCCGGCCCCTTGAAGGTCGCCAGTTTTCTGCCATCGCCTCATTGCATTACAGAACGATGGCATAACTCATCCTTCGTGACCAACTCGTGGCTGGCTTTTGGCTGAATATTCAACGCGTCTTGAGGCCTGCTCCTTCGCAAGTTTGTCGAAGTTTTTCAAGTCCGGAATGTAAAGTTAGAACGCAAATCGGATATCGCAACCGCGTCGAATTACCAGGAAAAATGGATCCTATTTGGTGAAAAGACACGTAACCCGGACTCTATTAATCTAATTTTAATTTCGACTATGTTACCATTATCATAATATTAAACTAAGATTCGGCGTTAGAAAATAGGCCTCGAGTTCTCTCTGCTCTCTCTCACTCTCTCTCACTCTCTCTCTCACTCTCGCTCGCACACTCTCTATCTCTCTCCAGCTCTCTCGCTGTCTCTCTCTCGCTCGCTCTCTATGTATTTCTCTAACTCTCTCTTTCTCTCTCGCTCACTCGCTCTCTCTTTCTCTTTCTATTTCTCTAGCTCTCCTTGTTACCCACAAGTTGCGAGTTGAGTTATTGGCAAACACATCATAAACAATTTATCCGCACCTAATTCGGGAGACAGAACTGTCCTCCCTTGCAGAGTCCGACGGCCTTGCACGCCACCTTCGGCGCTTGATGATCGGCGATATATTGGGCGAGGTCGGCGGCAAGCTGTAAAAATCGTCCTAAGTCTCGACAAACCGAAATTTCGGCAAATTTGGCGAGTCTGTGAACATTTCGAAAAGCCGAATCTCGAATTATCAACAATGACTAATATGGCTACCGCGGTGAGCACGGTGACGCATTTCGCCTTCAGCATGTCGAACCACAGCTTGCTGCACGCGTTGTTGATCGCCTTGCCAATTTCGGTTTCGATCACCGGCGCTACCATTTCTTCAATCTCCTGCAAGACAAATAATTTTTTGTGTGCTCTTTTTAAAGCTGTTAATTGCTGAGGAATAATGCAGCTACTCTGAAATGCCGACAAGAAGCTTGCAGAAATTTTTAAAACCCAACAAACGGTAAAGCCGATAGTTTCGGAAAATTCCATTTTCGAAAATCCTAATCTGCTAAAATCTGCTTCTTGATTTCTGGCGCCTTATGACGATTTCTTATGGTGACGCTCTTTTGAAACTATCGTTTTCGAAAAGGTGCCTTAGAAAGGAGTTTTCGACAAAGTGAAAAATTGCTTTTTTCGGATCATAACTTTCGAAGACATGAATACCTGAAAAAAAGTTCTTCGAAAAGCTGACTATCGAAAATGTGTATGCAAATCCATGCCGAAACGCCGACACCAAACGCGAACATTACTGTTGTCGGCATTTTCCGGATTGGGATTGATCAGGTTTTAGCTTTCCGGATTTTGAAAGGATAACCGGTTTTTATTAATTGTCGTCTTTTCGATCTTGCAAGGACTATTTTTTCAGATGTAGGCTGCAAAAGTTTTGCAAACCTCGAGTGAGTCAGTGGGTCTAAATTGGAACCGGACACCGCTCCAGGGTTTCCGGATTCATTACAAAGAGATTTTTCGGCGTGGTCGGAAAACTTCTAATCCATTCGCATGGTTCCCCCAAATTACTAGTCCGTTGTCATTTTTCGCTAATCCGGTGGCGGATTACGGTAATCCGGTTAACCTTTAGGAGGACACGCCGGGCACGAGAGTTTGCAAAAATATTTTTGATGGTTGTAGGGATCGGCGATTTGGTGGAAATGTGGTAAAATAGAGTTAAAAGGGTTAAAAATGACACGTTCAAATTTTCAAGAAATGATGAAAGCTACCGTATTTAAAAACAAAATACGTAGAATCTTATGGTTTTTCGAAACTTACTCAGGACACATGTCTCTTTCTCTCATTCCGGCTCTCTATCTATCTATCTATCTATCTCTCACTTTCTCTCTTCTCCCCTTGCTCTCTCGCCCTCTTTCTCCTCTCTCTTTCTCTCGCGCGCTTTCTCTCTCGCTCTCTCTCTCACTCTCTCTATCACTTTCTCTCGCCAGGAGACCAAATTTCGTGAATACTGATTTTTCCACATCAACAGTTAAATTTGATCGTCCACAAATTAAGCTTACCTGAACCACCAACTCGCACGCCCAGCATAACATGGATTCCTCGATCGCTTTCTCGGTTTCTGTAGCGATGGGCAAACTTTGTGAAGTCGATCTAAGTAATAAGATTTTATGAATTGCTGCCTCTCTCGCTCGCTCTCTCGCTATCTCTCTCTTTATCTCTCTCTCTCTCTCTCTCTCTCTCTCTCCTCCTTGCTTAATTATCAGAACTCACTCCACCGCAGCACCTTCAACAAGGCCAATTCCAATGCCGATCGTGGCCAAGAAAACCAATCCCAAGCCGTGCATCCTAATTGAGTTGGGAATGCGAGGCTAGTAGCTGTCGAGACCTTGTCGATAAAAAGGGTCGATTCATCCAATTTATGATCATGTTAAAGGGATAGTGAAGGCAAAAGGTCCTAGTTAGCAGAGCGCAGAGCTACGCTGCGCTACTGGCGTTCGAAAACCAACTAAAATGCGTATGTTAAAGGGCTGCCGTTGGCATGTGTCGATCCCTGCCTCGCGCGTCTAGGGGAGAGGCGCAGAGACATTTTCTTTCCAGCGCGTAACCGATTGACTATATGCCGTCGGCATCCCTTTAAGGAATCTTGAAAAGGTCCTAGAATGCACACCTAGATGGTATTGGGTTTTCGGTTCCTTTCAGGCAAAAATAGAGCGCTATAGATAAAATAAAAACGGAACAGTAGTTCCCGGTCGCTTGAAGCCCCAGGTTTTTATCCCGCCTGCTCATTGCATTACAGAATCCGGGCATAAGTCGTTTTTCCAGATCAACTTCTTGCTGGCGTCTGCCACTCTTTTGAATATTCAATGCGTCTCGAGGTCTGGAACATTTACAGCCTACTCTCTCTCGCTCTCTCGCCGTCTCTCTCTCTCTGTACGTTTGCCACGAGATCCAAGTTGCGTTGCTGGCATACACATTATATAGAATCAATTTATTAGCACCTAATTCGGAAGGCATAACTGTCCTCCCTTGCAGAGTCCGACGGCCTTGCATGCCACTTTCGGCGCCTTCCGGTCCTTGATGTAGACGACGAGCTGGTCGATGAGCTCAACATTTTCAGTTGGCAGTTGAATAAAAAATGATTTGGTTTTGCTTTTAAAAATTTTTGGCCAAAAATGAGCAAACATTCGCCTTTAAAATTTTCAATAGTGAAAACATCCAAAAAAAAAACTAAAAAATTCAGATTGAATGCCTAGGTGAATCCGGACAGCCAGCAAAATTAGTGTAACATTTATAATAAAAACCACCCCATTCAGCGTCTTGAGGCATTGCTTCTTGATGTTTTCAAACGGCACTTTGTCGCACATGATGTTGATGTACTTGCGCACCTCGGTGTCGATTTGTGTCGTGGCCTCAGCTTCTACCGCCTCGAAAATGGAAGCCACTTGTGAAAAGTATCTCTCTTCTCTCTCTCTCTCGCTCTCGCTATCTCTTGTTTCCTCTACAAGTCGCTTACCGCAACAATTCTCTCACACGCCTGACAAATCACACCTTCCTGGATTGCTTTCTCGGTCCCCGCCGCGATTTCTATCGTTTCTTTCGGTACATCTCTGTAACGTTAACCGGGTTATTTTCTGTAATTTTGTTAGTAAGATATTGATTATTAGGTGCCATTCTCTCTCTCTCTCTCTTTCTCTCTCCCTTCTCTCTCTCTCTCTCTCTCTCTCTCTGTCTCTCTTTCTCTCTCTTTCTCTCTCTCACACTCTCCAGCCTCGACCTAGCTTCTTGTATAGCAACTCACTCCCATGACACTTCTGAAGTTCCCTGAACGAGACCAACCGCGGCGATGCCGATGGTGACCAGCAAAACGAAACCCAAGCCGTGCATCCTGAACAGGTTGAAATTTTTCAAGATTTCAGTTTTAAAGAGACGATGAAGGCGAAAGGCAAGCAGGAAAGGATGCCGAGCACTGGGTTACGTCATGACGTTGAAATTATTATCGAAAAGTGAGAACTCGTGTTTTCCTAGACATATCCCAAAATCCAGGCAGTGACTGTGTTATAGTCCCTTCGGAAAACCAACGAGTAAAATCCTGAAAATAAAAACTCAAGCTGAAAAAATTCCCGGCCCCTTGAAGGCCCCAGTTTTTATGCCATCTTCGTATTTCGAATTCAGAACCCAAACATAAGTCATTTTTCGGGATCAACTTCTGGCTGGCTTCTACCGCATCTCCTGAATATTCGACGAGCCTTGCCGTCTGTAAATTCTACAGTCCTCCGGGAACTCGCTTTGACAGACAAACTTGGACAGTACGGCGGAGCAGAAAATTTGTTTTACAAGTATTTAAAAAACGATAAAACCCTACAGTCGAACTGGAAAATCGGCGCGATAACTTCGGCAAGGAATCAACCCAAAATTCGATTCTCTCATTAATAATCTGCGCCAGAAAGCTAAAATTTTGATCTTTATTTGGTGCATTTGTGTTTGACCGATTTCTGCATTTTATTTATTCGAAAAAATTGTCCCGCGCTCCATCCGTTTAACCGCGTCCAGCAGCGGCGGGCTTTCCGGTCGGGGGAGGAGGGGGTGGCTGGGATCCTGAAAATACTTATGTCATTGATATTCTCTTTTCCTCTCGATCCCTCTCTCACTCCCTCTCTCTCTCTCTCTCTCTCTCTCTTTCTCTCTCCCTCTCTGCAATATAAGATAACTGACCAGCGGGAGCTGGGGGCTGAGATCCTCCCTGAACTGGGGCAGGCTTGCCGGTCGGGGGAGGCGGGGGTGGCTGGGATCCTGAAATATTAATATTTATCTCAATTTTCGTTCGATATCCGTCTGCCTCTTTTCTTTTTCTCTCTCTCTCTCTCCGCTCCCCCTTTCTCCCTTTCCTCTCTCCTCTCTCTCTCGCTCTCTCTCCCACTCTCTTACCGGCAGGAGCTGGTGGCTGAGAGCCGCCCTGGACTGGGGCTGGCTTTCCTAAAATGCAAATAATCAAGAGTTACAGTATTCCATACCGGTAGGTGGGGGAGGAGGAGGCTGCGATCCACCACCTGGCGCTGGCGGCTTTCCGCTGGGCGGCGGGGGTGGTGGTGGGGAGCCGGCCGGCTGGGTCGCGCTAAAAATACGGTATTTAAAGAAAGTATGGAAAACTAATCGAAGCCTAAGCCAAGCCGAAGCCAGGCCTAAACCAAGCTTGAGCCAAGCCGAGGCCAAGCCTAAGCCAAGCCTAAGCCAAGTCTAAGCCAAGCCAAAGCCAAGCCTAAGCCATGCCGAAGCCAAGCCTAAGCCAAGCCTAAGCCAAGCCTAAGCCAAGCCAAGCCAAGCCAACTTACGCGGCGACCGCGAGGAGAGCCAGGAGGCAGACGACGGCGGCCTTCATCTTCAGCTGACGGAAACCAGGGATTGATACTTCCTAATGGCAAGGTCGAGTATTTATACGGAACCCCGCCAGCTGGAAGTTCCCAAAAAAAACTTGGTCGACGTCATCCACGCATGAAACTACGAGTTAGTCCTCTTTCCAGGCAGTTTTGGACAGGGCAGCTGTGCAAATGTACGGTTTGATGATGATGTTACTCGAATTTGGAGGGATGTGGATTACAGCGCATTTTAGCAAAAACCAAGAGACACACGACAGCTCGGCAAATATTTTAGGGTTGTGAACATCGTTTTTCTGGCCATAAAGCGATGCTGAATGAGGTTCCAGGGCTGGTAGTGAATTACTGGGACCGGTAGCTTTTTCTCGGCGCTGCCTCAGACGCACGTTCTTTCAGAAACTTTGCAGCCGGTGGTGCACGTTTGAGAATTTTTGAGATGTTTAGGTAGCTCTGTTTCTCTCATTCGACCTTTCTCTCTCTCATGCTCTCGCTTTCTCCGTTTCTATATCACGCACTCTCTCACAGTCTCTGATCTTCCACTGTCGTTATCCGCTTCTCACTCCCCGGTCTCTTTTATGCTCTCTTCCTCTCTCTCTTCTCTCTCTCTCTCTCTCTCGCTCCTCTCCCCCTCTCTCTCGCTCTTGCTCACACGCTGACTTTCTCTTTCTCTCTCCTTCTCTCTCTCTCTTTGTCTCTTTCGCTCTCTCTCTCTCTATTCTTTTATAGCTGTGTTTTTCCTTTATTGCTTTATTCAACGGCGTGCATCATTTGGAGCAGGGCACAGTTTGACGTTGGCGCAAGCTTGATACGGCTGCGCTCCAGCAGTCACCAATCGAGCCAGTTGGTCGGCTTGCTAAAATTAAGTTATCGAGCAGTACGTCTGATCTGATATAATTGTAAGCGAGATATCCATTGCCAACATACAAGAACCTTTTGGATCAGAGTGCATAAACCCACCGATTGAACATAAGCGGGGCATTTCTGCCAAAGGGAGAGGGCTGCTATGCAAATCAAGTCGAGTCCATTTTGCAAGAAGGCCGTCTGGTCCGTTGGCTTGATCAGTCGGTCTAGCTGAAAAAAATTGTAAGAACAATAAAAGTTGTTTCTGTTGTGGTTGTTGTTCTGATGACCTCTTTTAGCGTTTTTGGCTAGAGAACCAGAATTCTCGGGTTTGCTAATCCGCAACCTGGTCGCAATTTAACTTTCGAATTTCCCTTTGTCGGCATTTTTGTCAAACAGGAAAAATAGGATTTCCGCGTATTGAAATTCAACCTTCTCTTTTTTAGTTCTCGCGAAAATCAATTTCGACCAAAACATCACCATTCTAATTTCCGAAAAAATAGATTTCGCCGTTTTGGACTTTGGTCCCTTTCCTCGGGGTTGTTTTTTTTGTTTTTTTATTTTTTTTTTTTTTTTTTATCATATATTTTAATATTTTTTTTTTTTTTTTTATTTTTTTCCCCCGATAAACAATTTTTTATATTAAACAAAAAAAATTTTTTTTTTCCTTTCCTCATTTTCCCCCCCCGAAAAAAAAAAAATTTTATATTCCCCCACTTCCCCCCCACCCCCAAAAAAAAACCCAACCCCAAAAATACTCCCCCACCCAGGAAAAATAAACCAAATTAACAGTTTCTAATTTGACAAGGTGAATTTCGACAACAGGATATTTTCACGTTTTACGTTACCTTCACTAGGGCGACACAGCCATCGCATACGATGTCTTGCACAAACGCCTCTGGGGGCGCTGGAACAGGATCAGTTTCGGCAGCGTATGCGGGCGCCATTAGCAGCGCAACGGTGACTAGGAATCCGCGCATCTTACCTGGAAATTGACTTTCAAAGAGATCGGCGAGTCTACCATATAAAAATTGGGGTTTTACGTTTTGATGGCGGCTAGAAGGCCGAAAACGTATGAAATTCATGCTTTGAGGCTTATATCGCACGCCTGAAATTGTCGGCGACTGCTGTTTTTTAAGGAGCCGTTTTCAATATTGCCGACACTATACGATTCGATTCGAGTTTCTAGGCGACAGTAATCAGATGGTGACATCTGTACAGTACGGTAGGATCGACGGAGAAAGGGGGGAGAGAGGGGACAGAGAGAGGGAAGGAGAGGAGAAAGAGAGAGAGAGAGAGGAGAGAGAGAGAGAGAGCGGAGAGAGATAGAGGGCGAAAGGGAAGCGAGAGAGGGCGAGAGAGAGAGGAGAGAGAAAAAGAGAGAGGGCGAGAGATAGAGAGAGAGAATGAGAGAGAGAATGAGTGAGAAAGAGAATGAGAGAGAGAGCGAGCGAGAAAGAAAAACAGAAAAAAGAGAGCGCGGCAGAATGAGCTGCCGACTGTAATACTACTTTCAAAACTTCTATTTTTTTATTTTTATTTTTTTTTTTTTTTTTTTTTTTTTTTTTTTTATTAAATTTGTTTTTTTTTTTACAACAATTTTAAAACCCCTTTTTTTGTTTTGGCCCTTTCTGGATACTGGACGGTCCGGAAAAGCCCTTAAAATACTAAAAGTCCGACGTTAGGAAATTTCGAAAATGAAGGTAAATGGCAAATCGTGTAGGAATGGTTTATCAATTTATTCATATAATTTTATTCAGTGGAGTGTAGGCTTTCGGGTGGTCGGGTCCTGCGGGCACATGTGAACGGCCTGGCATGCCTGACGAGGCCCAATCTTAGCCCTGACCAAGTCGGCCAATTGGTGGACATGCTAAAATAAACTATGCTTCTTAAGGTGGGGCTCCGGGCAAACCTCTTTGAAGTATTTGGTGCAGGAAGGGTAGAGGACAAGCGATGGAATGCAGACGGTATCGATCATTTCCCGCAGATAGTCCTCAACGTCTTGCAGTGCCAGCTCTTCGGCCATCTTTAAACAATCATCGTCATCATCGCGCTCGCTCTCTCTAGCTCTCTCTCTCTCTCTCTCTCTCTCTCTCTCTCTCTCTCTCTCTCTCTCTCTCCCTTTCTCTCTCTCTCTCTTCTATCACTTCTCTCTCTTTTTTTGGAGCAACTTTTTTTCTTAGGCCAAAATTTTCGAATACCAATAGTGGACGTGTTCTTATACGGTCTTTACGATTCTGGCAACGTGAAAACTTTGACAAATTTGCATTAAAAGTTTGGACCCCAAGGATTTGGACCCTAAATATTTTTTAACATCTCCTCCCGCAAAAAGGGGAAACCGCCAAAATCCCGAATTTTTCGCACCGCAAAATCCCGACAGCCAGAAACCCCAGGGTTGGCATTTCGGGGGGGCGAGAGCTGAAGCTTTGGGCAGGAGCCGTGCGGGTAGGGCCGAGCGGAGCTCAAAATTCAGCCCTGCCCCCCCGCTTAATGCCAAACAAAGCGGGAGCAACATATTTTCGCCTCCCGATTTTGAGCAATTACAGCAATTTGCAGCTCACGCTCTCAGCCCCGCTCTTTTCGGGACCGTACCCCAAAGTTTTGCTTCTTAAATGCGGATTTGAACTATTTCCGCGCGGGTGGGGGCTCTACTAAGAGGAAATACGGTAGTTGCGCCGCAGCCACCTTGACAAGTTTCATGCACCCATTGCACAGCATGTCCCAGTTGAAGCCGACCGGCAAGGGGATGGGCGTTGATGCGGCTGCCGAGACCATTTTGGGGCTCAAAATGGTGAGGGCGAGGATTAGGCAGCGCATCTGAAGTTGTTTTTGCAATCTCCAGGAGTGTAGAATTTTTTTGACTGAAAAACTTTCAGTATTTGGAATTTTGAAAATTTCGAACCCGCGGATTCTCCGATTTTTACACTCTCACGTTCTAGAAATTGGAATGAACCGAATCAGGAATTTTGGAAAACCTTCAAAATCTCGAATATTCAGCATATCGGACGATATGCAAAGTTGTACGCCAAAATCTTACCTTGTTGCAGCTCGACATGGTCCTGAAAATGAAACTACAACTTCTTACCTGGGTTTATAAAGTCGGTGGATATTAGACATTCCCTGCCGTTTTCAAAGCGAAATGGCTATAAATAAAAAATAATAACGGTGGAAATGTTTGAAATTCGGAACCAGAAGCCACGAAAAAACTTAAATAAAAATCGTAGGATTGGGTTTTTGACGATGGCCTCATGTCTGGGTTGTAGCGGGAGAGAACGAGAGAGCGAGAGGCGGGAGCGTGAGGAGAGAGAGGGAGAGCGAGATAGAGAGGAGAGACAGAGAGAGAGACAGAGAGAGGAGAGAGAGAGAGAGAGAGAGAGAGAGAGAGAGAGAGAGAGAGAGAGAGAGAGATGGGAGAGAGAGAGATGAGGAGAGGGGAGATTGAGGGGAGAGAGTTGGCGTTGTCGACATACGTTAGACCCAAGGTAAGAAGCAGCATGTTTTTATGCTTTCAACAATTTATTCGAGTTCCCGGTTCACTTCGGGGGCACATCGACACAAATGTCAAGTCCGC